AAAAAATAAAATAAATAAAATGCTCCATGCCTACAGTGAAAATTTATTTGTGGCAGTGGTGGGACCCCAGCCTGCTCCTCACCCTAACCCTCCAGACTCTGAGCAGCCACTTAAGAACGTGCCAACATATTTGTGTTTTGTTTTCCTCACTGTGCTGGTATTTGAATTGTATTTATATTTTCCCTAGTCCTGGCTTTAAAAATTTTGGTTAATATTTAATCCATTTAAAGCCCTGTAGAGCCTTTAGGAAGCCCTCACAATTAGGGAAGAGCCCTACTGCTGAAACAGGATTACAATACTTTTGAGGAAACCTAGTGTAATTAACCTAATCCTATATTTGTAAATATAAACAGATCACCAAGGATCAAACCAATACAAAACTCAAAGAACTAAGATGAAAGGAAACAAGTCAAAGCTAACAGAAAAATCTGACATTGGAATTAGAACAAATTCTCAGTTATCTGCACCAATGCAGGAGAAACTGAGGAATAGGTCTCTGCTTTTGTCAACTGATTCAAAAGAACACACTCTAAATTACGCAGAGTCTGGAGTAAGAATCACTGAATGAACACTGCTAGGATTTGATCTGTTAAGTCTGGGGAACCAAGGAAACACTACCAGCAATTGAGTTACCTGAGGCACTGCTCACCAAGGGATTACCACACATACAGCTCAGAACAGTCAGATGGACTTCAGAGATTAGAGACACAGAGTTTGAGTAAGACAAACTTCCTTGGCAATCAGATTTAGGTACTTACTAAATATATATTCTTAAATAACCACCACATTCCAGGTGTTTGACCAAGCAACCTGCTGTACTAACAAGTCCAGACCATATTCAAAAAGGACAAAAACTGGCAAAACACATTCATAGTCACTGATACAACGGTGATGTAGATAGTCACTGCTAAACTAGAATGACAAGATATCAAGTAAGTTAGGATGATACACATATAAATCACATAATATAAAAAAAAAATGTTTCATAGTGCTATTCAAGTTAAGGTTTAACTAGGGCTTTTCATAAATATTATTAAATTCTTTGCTAAAATGTGCTTTCCATTAAAAGAAATGAGAGACACAGCAACCAAATATCTGGACCTTGCTTGGATTCTGATTTAAATAAATTCATCATAAAAATTAAATTTATGAAACAATTGGGAAAATTTAAACATGAGGTGGATATCTGATGATAACAGAGGGTGATAATGGTGTTATTAAAAAAAAAAAAAAAAAAAAACCAAAGTGGCAGTGCTTATCTTTTAGAAATACATACTAAAATGTTTGTCAACGAAATGATACGATGTCTAGGACCCATGTTAAAATAATACAGGAAAGTTGGTAGTCGTAGAGATGAAAGAAACCTGTCCATGTGTTGATAATTGCTGAAGCCAAGTGCTGGATTCACAGGGGTAATTATACTCTTTTCTCTCTTATGTATAGTTGAAATTTTCATAATTAAAAAAATGCTTTAAGTATACAAATCTAAGATGACTCATTCTTACCTCTGCTAGAATCTTTTACTACAATGTCAGAGATTTCAAACAGTTTCAGAGGAAGAGGCATCTTCCGATTTGCTGCTATGGTCTTTAGGAGGCCAGGAAGAAGGGTAGTGCGTGCCACCTACAGGAAAAGACATGAAATTGCACTAAGTAAGAACCAAACAAACACACTTGGTTAAAGACAAAGCAGAAACCATGGCTGCACAGGAAGACACTTCTGGAAAATGCAATGCCTAAAATATCCAAATAATTTTAAATTTTCAATTCCAGGACACTTAAATTGAACTAAAAACTGAAAATATTCTGGCTTTCAAATTTACAAA